ACCTCCATGTCAGGGAAAGTTCAGACCCCATCTAAAAGCTCCCTAAATTTCAAACTCAGAATGAAGAAGCAGGAGGATAAGGAGGAGGAGGAGCCTCAAGCCTCAAGACCATGATTCCTTCCTTCATGGGCCCTTCTTTCCCAGGAGCTCCTGGCTTCCTACTCAGGTTGTTCCAGCAACAGCGTCTCCATCCTGGAGGCTCGGGGACAGCCATCTACACCCTGGCAGCAGTGCTCCTGCCCCGACAGCCGGCAGGCTCACCTGGCCACAGGAAGTCCCTCTGTCCTTCTCTGGAAACACAGTGAACATCTGTTTCAAAGTGGCTTTCTCTTCCACCTCTTCCTGGAAGTGGTGAGAAGAAATAATGAAGCTTGGCTTCAAGGTGACTTTCTGTCCTTCCCGTTCCTGGAAACAGCCAGGAAATTACCTGTGTAAAGAGCCATCATTATCTGCACCTTTATCTTACCAGGAAGCTGATTTGGGTTTTGAGAGTTTTACAGTTAAAAACATACTTCTTTGTTCATCCAATCCTTATTTTTATTATGGAAATTAACCAGGTCTTGATTCTTGTTTCCTTTGAGCTCATATTTACTGGTCAATCCCAGGACACACAGTTGGAAAGTCCAGGGGGGCAGTCTAGAGCTCTCTAAAGGAGACTGGATTCTAAGCCACATTTTACATGCAGTCCAAGATCCCGACCTATTCCCCCTGTAGACTGCACCGACCTCCACGAGGAGTCTTTCATGGTGCTTTTGACTGGGCTCTTTGGTCTGGTGTATGTTACATGGTTTGGTGTGGCCTCGGTTTGAAGAGATTCCTTGATGTCTTCTGGGTGTGTTTCATTTACATTTCACATTCCAGCCCTCACTTGGCTGGCCCTTTCCTGGGGAGCTGAGGGGATAGCTTTCAGGTTTTGGCTGTTGAGCACAGAACTGATTTGGGCAGGGGAGGGTCCTATGTGCAGGCAGAGCCATAAGCACTTCTTGGAATTGGGATTGAGTTCAGTCGTCAGCTCAGTGCTGGTGAGGGTGTTGGCTCAGGCCCTGGGGTGCAGGGCCCATGTCAGGTGAGAAGCTCCTGCCCTGGTAACCCACATTGGTGCCTCAGGGGACTCAGGGGACAGGGGGCTCATCATTGCAAGTTCAAACATTCAGAGATTCCTGGACATGCTAAATACGCACGTCACTCATTTTGGGGGGAGGAAGGAGGAAATATCAAGACCTAAAACTATTTTTACTCTTGTCCTCTGTCCTGAAATTCCAGATTATGTTGTTTAAAACACACTCCTGGTTCAATGGAGACCGCTGAAGAGCTCTTCTCCCCTCCTCCACCCCCTTCTCTGTCCTCTACTCCCCTCCTCTTTTTCCCCATCCTCCTCTCCCTCTGCCAAACCTTCTTTCCATCTTTCACTTTATTCTCCTAAAGCTCCAACTCTCCTTACGTGGGGGCCCAACACAGACAGGACAGGGAGAAGACACACATTTGGGAAGACTTGCCTCTACACCTTATGGGACACACTGGAACGGATCTGGTTTTCAGATAATCAGTAAAAACGCCCTGGAGAGAAATGTGGTCCTTCACCCTCAGACAGGGGAGGACAGCATTGCAAGTGTGCGTTAGGTCTTGAAGGGTAGGAAAGGACACTTCTCTCTGGGTGCATGGTGCCTTGTTTCCGGAGAAGAAGGGGAAGTGCAGACGATGCAGATGGGTCCCTTCCATCGACAGGGAAGGCTGAGACCAAGGAGCAGGGAGCCTGTACAGTGCCCCCTGGGTGTGGCTTGCTGAGTAGAGGACAGCAGTGATTCCCACAGAATGTCGGAAAGAAGGAGCAAGGACAGGGGCAGGTGTCCAAATGTGGACTGTCATTGCTGGAGAGCAGAGATCCCACAGGTGACCTCGGCTTCAGCGAGCTCTGCAGTCTGATGGGTGTCCCATGGGTGAGCCTTCCCTAGCAAAGAGACTCCTGCTTTAGGTTCTATTTAATAGGATGGGGAAATGACATAGAAAATCCCCCAGGGCAGGAATAGTGCCTCATCCTGGACTTCACATTTAGCCTTGACATTTAGCAATTTTCACTCACTATGGCTTGAGCCCTGGGGTCCCCTTGGCCAATCTGTTCAAAACCAGAGATGTTTCCCTTTCCTTAAAAAAATGTGGCTGATGGAAATACATTCACCAGCAAGTTCTCAAAATGTTCTTGAAAGCGCAGTTAAAAAGCGGTAGCCTTGGATATGGCAGGACTGTGTGCCAGGTCAGAGGATCTCAATCCACTTCTCCCATTTCTGTCCACAGCAATCCCAGGAGGTCAGTGTGGACATGCCCATTTTTCACATGGAAAGCTTCTGTTATAAGGGGTGATGTCACTTGCCCAAAAAGGCAGGTGATTGAACTGTTTTCCTGGCTGTCCCTTTGGGCAGCAGATGGCCCGTACCGCTCTGACCTTCAGAGTCTTTACCTCATCCATCCTCTGCCATGTTGTCAGGCTGGCTTATAGATCAACTAGGCCCTGACGGTGACAGAGAAAGGGCTGGGACAGCAAACAAAAATGGGTTTCTGTGCAGAGTTCTTTCTATTTAAAAGCCACCTGCATCTGAGTCCAGCAGGACTCAACAGGGCTCCACCATGCAGGGTGGACCACAGCAGGAACCTTTGGCATCCTTGAGATCATCCTTGGATGCTGCATGTAGCTGAACAGGTGCCACTTTGATGTCACTGTATGTTGGGAGGTGACAGAGAGCCCTGCTTCCTCGGCATGTTTTAAGCCATGGGGTAAGCTGCAGGAGGTTGTAGGGCAGGTTTTCTTTTTTTTGGTTGGACTGATTTTCTTGTATTTTTTGACACCTTTTCCTACCATGCTATTTCTTTCTTTCTGCTGTGTTTTATCAAGTGCCTGCCTTTTGCTAGAACATTAGATACATGTCCTCATTCACCTGAGAGTTTATTGACTCAGTTATTAAATAGGTAGATATAGGATGAGTCCACACAGTGCCTCATTAGGGAATAATGTCTTAGCTCGGGTTACTGTGACAGGTGCCATAGTTGGGTGGCATATAAGTAACAGAAATTCACTTCTCATAGTTTTGGAGAGTGGAGGCCCGAGGTCAGGGTGCCAGCACCATGGGGTTCTGGTGAGGACCCTCTTCTGGACTTGTGGATGGATGACTTCTCCCTGCATGCTCTCATGACGGAATGAAGGGTTAATTCTCTGATCTCTTATCAAAAGGGCACTAATCCCATTCATAAGGACATCACCCTGTGACCTCATCCCTCCCAAAGGCCCTCCCTCCAAACACTGTCCCACTGGAAATTAGATTCTAACATAAGAACTCCAGGGAACACAGCACTCAGTTCCTAACAAGGAAGTGTTAAGACATCTGCATCTTGGTTTTTGAGCCTCGGTTTTTTCATCTGGAGTGAAGCTTACCCTAGGAATTTACTATGAGGGTTAAAGTGAGTAACACTTATAAAGCACTTTTGGAAGCTCTAAATGCCACCCAGTAGGTCATTGTTTTGAGTGAGTTTTCCTTTATGCAAATTTAATGTTATTTTAGAATACTTACATATTTTTTCTGACAGTATATTGTACGTATGAAGTTTATGGAGGAACTCAACTGTGTATCCCATTGTGACCCCGGCCAGTGGATGCAGTAAGATCTCTTAGCCTCATTATCTTTCTGAAATTCAGCTTAACATTGAAAATAGTATTCAGGGATTGTGGCATATAAAAACATATTGGAGCAAACACGCCCAGATGAGTTCTTCACATCATATGTGATATGCAAACATCTTTCAGGAGAGATGGGTCTGTGGGTTTCTATCCCTCTCATTCCCTATCTTTCTTGATTTCCAGGATAGGGGAAGTATGGGAAGACTCACAGAGGAGGGGACAAGTGACCGAGTGAGGAATTTAGCAGGCCAGGTACTAAATCCCAGCCAGGAACACTCCCCAGAGCATAAGTGGCCTGTTGAGGTCAGATGGCTTCTAAGACATTGAATTTCTCCCAATGAAACCAGAGTTTGAGATGAAGTTCAATTCTCCATTTCTCCTGGTGTGGGGTACTGTGTAAGCTGCTGGCCTCTGTAGCTGAGAAAGCCCCATTTTAGTGTTAGTAGCTAATCACAGCAGGAATGCCTACTGGCATCAGCTTTGAGGGTCACAGCTAGCAAAGCTCAATTCTTCTCCAGGGCTGTGGAGTGGCATATTGAAGCTCTTGGTGTTACAACTCTAAATGGTGCACTATGCCCTCCAGTGTTGCAACAGACCCCAGCAGCTCACCACCAACTTCTTTCCTGGTTCTTATTTCCTAAATCTAAAGAATGAAACTCCCAGACAATGGAAGGCAAGAGTAGAGGAGTAAGATTTATCCCAATGTTAATAGAAATAGAACTCTGAGAAGGGCAAGAGGGAACCCCAATAGGGCTTGCCACCTGAGCGTACTAGTCTAGGGGTTCCTATTGCACTTGGTCAATGCTAGTAGGTGCCAAGTTAGGCTAATCGGGGTTTGGAAAAGTACCAATGTTATTAGCTGGCCCTTAAGTCTGAACTTCCATTCAGGTCTGCCCCACTTATATATTCTTACTGTAGGAAGTAGAAGGTTGAGGTCATTGGACAGTGGATGATGGGAGTTCAGAGCTTCGGAGAAATGGGTGTAGTGGGTATCCACACCAGGCCTGGGCCAGGTTACCATCAGGTAACAGGTTAGCATGCCCTGGCTTGCCACGGCCCTCGCTTGCTGCACATCAGGCCCATGCCACCTATGCTCTAGCCCTCCCGGGTTTCCACTCCACAGCTCCAGGACAAGGACTTGGCTTCCCTGAGATACCAGCCCTACTGGATAACCACAAGTGTGGGGGTGTCATACATGCATGGTTTTAAGCTTTGGAAATTGCAATGCAGTTTGGGGTTGGGGATTGTTACTTTCCTAAAGTGACATCTGATGGGGCTGCAGGCACAGGATGGCGTTGGAGTTCATGAGCACCTTCTGATTCTTGTTTTGCAGAGAGCAGCACTCTGCATTCCGCCTGTGTCCATGAGAGCACTGTGCACAGCCGGGTCTTCCAGATCTTATACAGGAATGAAGAGGTGCCCATAAATGATGCCATGATCTTTCGAGCTCATTTGCTCCTTGACGGTGAAAGGGTAAGTCGTGAATCAACCACCAGCCCAAGACGCTATTCTCCCTCTTGACCAGTTCCTCTCATTGATAGGTAAATGGTAAGTGAAGGTGAAGCCAGAGACCAAGTCTGAAATCTGACAGATGGGAACTCATGGGGTTAGGGCATTCATGCACTTGCTTACAGATGCACACTTTACTCATCCTTTCATTCAAGGGCTTGCTCATCTCATGAGGTCTCAGGGGCAAGCATCTCCATTGACCAACTCAGCGCCTCTCTTCCATTCCTCACTTGTCTGTCTGTGCATCCATTCAGGCACTCTGTCATGAATCAGTCAGCATAGGCTTTTGAGTAGCTGCTTCTTGCAAAGCCTGGGTTGGGTTCTTGGATGAGAGACAGAGGTGAAGAAGGCAGCAGGACCTCAGCCTTTCTGGGGTAAATTCTTCAGTAGGGACAAAGATGTTTAAACAAGCATCTTGGTGCACTATGCTGGCTACGTAGGGAAGAATAAAGGGAAGCCAAGGGTGGAGAACTGAGCTCTGGGACCACAAAGCTGCTGCTCAGCAACCCCTTCACAAAGGAGCCGGCTTTCAGACCTACCTGCTAAGAGTCAATCAGACAGAGACAGAGAAAGAACATCCCAGGAAAGGGAATAGCAGGAATGACAGTGGAGAGACCTTGGCTCGCCATTGAAAATTCCTCACGCATCAAATTAACACATTTCAAAGGAGGATATGGAGTCCAAACCATTGCTCTCACTCCCTAGCCCCCCTCAAATCCCTGGTGCCACATTCCTGTTGATTATTTCTTGATAGAATCCCTTTCAGGATGTGGAAAAGTGCTCCTATTTTAGGAAAACTTAATTAGAGTCCTCCTGCTTCATTCCCGTGTGGTGTGCATAGCAGCTTCTCCTGGCCACGTCTTCCTCCTCTTCTGTCCCTCAGCTTTTGGTCCAACTTTTGTGCTCTAGGTAGTGACCAGGATTTCCTGTGTGGCTAAAAGTAAGTGCTGCCACTTGTTTCCCATTTATCCACCCATCTCTCTACTTCTCCAAGATTCTCCGACCCTCACTAAGTATGTCCCACACTGGAGATAAATAGGGAAAGAGAACACCTGGTGTTTGGGGCTTCTATTTCAATGTTACCTCTTGGCATTATTTCATTTTAATTCCCTGTTTCTTGATACGGCCCTTAAAAATTTAAAGCCTTTTGATTTGAACCTCATGAGATCCTAAAACATTCCCAAGGTTAAATGGGAGCCTGTTTCATAGGATATATTGGTTTTTTTCTCCATGTCAAATTATTTACCTATAGAAAATAACACTTCATTATTGTCAGCCGTAATCCATATGGCAGCAAACAATGTTGCAACTAATCATTATATCCAAATCAGTGATAATTAAAGTTAATTGGATATGTCTGAAAACCTGTGTATTCGGAATGCATGCATGGATTCTTTTCCAGTGCATATCTATCTGCTTGTGACAGCCAAAATACTGCTTACAGCCTGCGGCTGGGTAAGACAGAGGATATGTCCAGGAATGAATGCATCCGTCTCTATGAACAACAGATATCGGCACAGTGGATGCTTGTCTGTCAGGCACACCTTGCCAGGAGCCATGGGGAATTCCCACATGGAGAGGATTCAGTGCACACAGTGAGGCTGCAGGGAGTGCAAGGGATGGCCAGGGAGAGAACTAGTCCATCACAATTAAGAAATGTGATGAGATGTTTCAACAGAACTTGCAAAGAGCAAGTGTGGAGGTAGTATGTGTGTGTGTGTGTGTGTGTGTGTGTGTGTGTGTGTGCGTTGTATATAAATGCTGTGGAAACCCACAGAAGATTGAGGAAGGCTTACAACATACATGGATTGGTAAAAGGGGACAAAAAAATAAAAGCAATGGAATGAGCCAGAGTAGAGGACAAACACAGAAAGGGAGAGAAGGCCTGGGGTAAATACAGCAGAACAAAATGCACACACATCCTCTGGACCTTGGCTAATGGCAGCCCACACATGGAGCACAGACCCCTAGCTGACAAAATGGAGAAGACACAATTACAATGACAAGATGCCTGATGCTCTGAGGAGGAAGAAGAACAGATTACATCAATGTGTGTGCGTGTGTGTATGTGTGTGTGTATGTGTGTGTGTGTGTGTGTGTGTGAGTGTGTGTGTATGTGTGAACAATATGGGAGTACCCACATCATAGTTCTTTGGTAGAACTTGCACAAAATGCAGATCCTAGAGGCCACCCCAGACTGGTGATTGAGCAGAGCATTAGGATTTGCAGGGTGGGTTACTGGGTTGATTCAGAGTTTGGGAATGGAGGCATAGGTGAGATTTCCCTACCAACCAGTTAAGCACTTCTGAGACACAGGACAGCAGGACAGTGAGGAGTAAAACAGGGCAGATTTGAGGAAGAGAGCATCATGCTTGTGGCACAGAAAGCACCACAGACACGGATCGGATCTGGAAAGGAAGGTTAAGAAGAGCATGGGGGTCACAGGGACCCCACTGAAGTCCACCTGTTCACCTTTGTCTAAAGGCAGGAGGATTTCCAGACTCAGTGGGAGGAGGGTTTGCACAGGTCATTCCTGCACAAATATGGGAAATGGGGCTCAGGAGACTAAGGGTGTAGAAGCTGTCACTGCTGCTGCCCACATAAGAGTTGCAAGTGTCAAGGTAGAGGTTAGACAGGTGACCAGCAATCAGATGGACGGGAACCGTGCTGCAGGATGGCCCAGAACAGCCCATGGAAGCGGGTCAGGGTTAAGTCCAGAGATGAAGGACTTCACACAGAGAAGACAGCCAGTGATGTGACCCTACTCTGTGGCATGAAGTTGCTGTCCAGGGTAGTTGGGAGAGGCAAAGATTCTACTGAAAGGTGACAGGCATCCAGGTTGTGTGGGAATAACCATCATGATGACTTTAACAGTATCTTACATTTATTAGGGGGTGCTGTGTGGCAGGCATTGTGCAGAGTATTCTCTTTGATTCACTGAAACAACGTGGTGTTTTATTACCCCTGTTTTATGGATGAAGATCCTGAGATTAAGAGATGTTAAGTTATTGTCCTAAAGTCACCCCACCAGGAAGGAAAGGGGTAGAAAGAGGCTTCCAGCCCAGGTAGTCTAATCCCTGTGGGTAGGACCACTGTGGGGTTGGTGGCCCAGAACTAAAGAGGAAATCATTGGAATAATAATAACTAATATTTTTTGAGAACTGTCAACCCCTTGTGTACAAATTATCATATTTAGTTCACACAACAAAACCCTATGGAGTAAGCCTGATTTACTTCCATTTTACAGATGGAAATCAACGAGAGGTGGATTCAGTGATAGCATCAGAATTGGTACCTATGTAGCCTGCCTTCAGAAGCTCCTCCTTAGCCACCAGTCCAAGTGAGGATTGGGGGACAGGGAAAGAGGAGAACTGATGATGAGTCATTGTCATGAGTAGATCTGAAGCCAACAGGGAGAGGAGGTATAGCCTAGAACTCAGGTTTGACCATGAGGATTAGAGCCCAGGGCAGAACCAGGCACATAAGACTCGCTCAAGGGCCAAGCTTGACCATACTGAGCCTCAGTTTTCTCACTTGTAAATGGGGGACAATATTTCTTCATTCAAGGTTTTATCTACATCAGGTAAGGTCTGCCACATAGCGACTCTTTCATAAGTATTAACTTCTTTTATGATTTCCATGATCATGCAAAAATACCTCAGGTCTTGTGAACCTAACCCTTGAAAGGAGATGTCTTTAACTGAGAAAAGACAGGGTTAGGGGAAGACGTGTATGCTGGGTAGTGTGTTTGTGTGCACGCATGTGTGTTTGGAGGGGCGGATAACAGCCCTTCATGAAATGAGTGGTTACAGAAGGTAATGACTTCATTTGGAATACATATTGCAAGTAAGATGTATTGAGGTGTCAGTGAAGTCACAGCCAGGCTCAATCCAGCCACAGCTCCTAGGGAACTGCAGCGAGTTTAAAGCTAGAGCTCACAGGGAGTTTTCATTACCAAGGCAAATGCAGCTTGGAAGGTGGCTGGAGCCTTGCTTTGCCAGTCTTACTTCCAAGGAACTGGTGGCAAGAGGCTGCGTTGCTTTCATTGTGTGTGTGAAGTGAGGCTCGTGATTATGCAAAACAAATCTAGGAGAAGTTATTTATAGCATTTGGATTCAGCAAAATGTTAGCTTTTAAATGCTTTTTTTTTTTAAACAACAATTTTTAAAACCCTAAGGACCTAAAGATAAATTCCATCCATATGTCTCTGCCTGAATTATGCTTAACCAGGAAGACATTTCCAAAGAGGCCTTTGGATAGGAGATTTCTGTCCCTGAAGGATGAGCACATTCTTGCAAAGAAACAATCCCCACAAAAAAAGGTGGGATGAGAAGGGCTTTATTCCTTGAAGATGCAAAGACACTTTCTTTGTAGCAGGCCCTATTCCTTGAGCTTGAGGTCCAGAAGTAGGAAGAGCAGTGTCCCTTTAATGATAAGATTAGAAGGAACATCCAGCAAGAAAGTAGGTGGGGGCTTAGCCACAGGCCAGACAGGCATCAGCAGTGAATGGTGAAGCAGCGGTAGGTGCAAGAAGAATCGCTTGATCCAAACCGACACCAGCTCTGCCAGATCCAGGGATTTTATTTTTCCAGAACCTAGAAACCTGCAATTCGAATGTGAAATTGCCTGAATTTTAAATATTTGCAACTTGTTCAAAACATTTTTTAAAATACCGTGGGGATTAAACAAAACACGTTCACAGATAACATTTGGTTCCTGAGCTTCCAGCTATAAACCTGAAACCAACAATTCTAATATGAAGTACTAAATGCTAAGAGAAAAGAAGCAGGGTTCTGTGGGGTACAAAGGAGGACACATCCGGCCCAGGGATGGGGCTGAGTCCTGTCACCTGTGTGCAATGCTGGTGCTGGGAAGGCCAGCTGAGTAGAGGGACTGGGACATCTGGAAGTTAGTGTGAGACTCCTTCGACCAGGGGTGATGATTTTGTGCATGAGAAAAGAAAAATTGGGATACCGGTGTATGTGGGAAGCACAGACTCGCTAACAATGGAAGGACACAAAATGCTAAAAAGAAGGGTCTTGAAATTGAAATGGCTACATGTAAGGATCCTCAGGCTGACAATGAAGAGCTTCTTTCTTGTGGACTTGAGCCTCCTGGGGAAATGACTTCGCATTCCTGGGTGTGGACTTCCTCCTCTGCACATGTGGACACCTCCCTGCCACGCAAGGGAACTTGGGGTTGGAGAAGACTTTATCGCTGATTTATCCCATCACTAGCCAAGTTAGATTTCACTGTAAGTTCACTCTTCCATCCTTCTCAAAGGAGGTGCTACTGAACATCTCATCCTGCCTGAAAGGACTCCAGACTTAATCCACAGGGAAATGAGGCCTCCAGGGGTCCTACCCTAAGGAGACGTGTTTAGCTGTTTTGGCACAGAGGCTTTAGCAAGCCAGCTACGTAAATGCTCTCCTTCCACTTTGCACAGAACTCACCCAGGGACCCTGTTCATCCAGAATACCACAGAACTTTCAGGGAGAACCTGCTTTAAGCAACAGTGACTTTCATTTTGTGCTGGAATTCTCTACTGTTTCTCTAATTTAGGAAATAGAACAGCTAAATATTTCAAGTCGACCATTCTGAAATCCCTCGGACTTTATTTCTTTTGCAGGTGGAAGACGCGCTGAGCGGGGTGGAGTTTCAGCTCAAGGTGGACCTGCACTTTACGGATAGTGAAGAGCAGTGAGTTGTGCTGGCCCTGTGGCTTCCCCACCCCATACCCACCCTAGGGCATCCCCAAGGCTCAGTCCTCACAACAACTTTCAAAAACCCATTTCGGGGAAGCTGCCAGGTCCCACTAGTCACAGCTGACCAGGAACAGGGGCCAAGAATGTCTGTGTGGGCATTTCAAACTGCATTTGAGGCAGGTGGCTCCGGTTCTGTGTGCACAGAAATCTCCCCACTTCTCAGCCGCACTGGCTGATGCCTTCTGTCCTCAGTACCTTTTCACTGCGGTAGTAATTGGTGGCTTTAGAATAACGACCCTGTGAGGCTGTAAAATTCAAAGCCTCCTCTGAATCAGAGGAAATTTTGCCAGGGCTCTGCATCTTTGTGCAATGGATCAGCCTCACCCTGGGCAAACCACCTTGGTGATCACGGTACCTCCGCTGCCAGGTGACTCTGCATCTCTGTACTGAATACCTTCTGTTGTGTTTCAACTCTCTGAAAATTGAAAATCCATTTATGTATAACCTGCTGATTAAATCACTGGGAAGTGACTCTCTTCCTTCTCATGGCTGCTTCCTTTAATTCTTCTCTGTGGCCTCTGCCTTCAGCCCTGAGGTGAACCGTCTTCTCATTGAGCACAGTGGAGTCTTCCAGGTAATGAGTAAATCATCCTTTACCTGGGAATTGAAAACTCCTGGCTGTAACTTCCACCTGCCTTCTTATCCCACCCTGGGTCCAGGTTCCCGAGGGTGAGGACGCCCAGTGCAGAGGCAGGGCGTGGGTGGGGCTTTATATTTCTTCCCCAGCTTTCTTCTCCACGGAGGTTTTGGGGCCAGGCCGTGAGGAGGGAGAAGATGGAGAAAATGGCACGAAACGAAATTGGGTCGGTGGAAGGCAGGGCCCGTTTTGTGGCAGTTGCTGCATCCGCCTCGAGCGTTCTTGTTAATTCCTTGGAGATCTACTCATTAGACCCCCAGCCACCTCCCCAGCCCCCTCTGGGGTCCTCTGATCCAGTGGGGCCTTTTCCAGCCAGGGGACGGTGTCGTGCAGCACATTTTCGGAGGCAGTGTGTCAGTCAGCTCTCCATCACTGTGAACAAAATGCCTGACAAGAGCAACCTGGAGGAGGAAAAGCTTATTTTGCCTCAGAGTTTCAGCCCATGGTTAACTACCACCATTGCCCTGGCCTGAGGTAAGGCAGAGCATCATGGTGGAAGGTGGGGCAGAGGGAATTACGACACTCACGACAGCCAGGAAGAAGAGAGAGAGGGGAGTGAAGGTGTCATAGAGAAGGTGAGCTCTTCCTGGGCACGCCCCTAGTGACATGTCTTCCCCAACCGTGCCCCCCCTGCCCACAGCTGCCATCACCTAGACATTCAAACCAGGATGGCTGAGTAGGTTGCAGTCCTCGTCGTCCAATCATTTCACCTCTGAAAGTTCTTGCATTAAGGGGATATCTCATAACCATAACCATGCCCTGTTCCCAAGAGCTCATGTCTATCTCACAAGGAAAAACACATGTAGCCCACTTTGAAGAGTCACCACGGTCTTAACAGTTCCAGCATTGCCCAAAAGTTCAAATCCAAGTCTCCTCTGATACTTAAGGCAAACTCTTGGCTATGAGCCTTGCAAAAAGTTACATACATCCAATACATCATGGCAGAGACTAATCATTCCCATTCCAAAAAGGAAGGATAGGAACATTGCAAGAAGGGATGGGGCCAAAGCCAGACTGAAACCCAGCTGAGCAAACATTTCCCGTGGCGCTGCCTCTAGCATCTGGTGCACCTGGTAGCAAGTTGTTGTCTCTGCAGGGCTGGATGGTCTGCCTCTGTGACCATGCCAGGTGAAGCCCACATGGCCCCTCTTCTAGCCTGGCTCTGTCCTCAGACAGTAGTGTCCTGGCAGACAGTCCATGTTGCTGGCATGTTACTGGAACTTTGGGGGGATACCTCATATCCAAACACAACAGTCAGACACTCCTCCAAGGATCCCACATCTAGTTCCTGGGAAATAGACGAAGTCACTTGAACCCCCATCTCACATTCATGGAGACTCACCTCCACCCCATGTCTGTTCTCTCTCCCTCGGGCTAGTCCAGCCTCATCCAGCTGCTCAGCGGAGGGCCTTAGAAGGATGAGGTCGTCACCAGGACCTATTTGCACAGTTCTAGGGGATACAGACCAGAGTGTAGCTACTTCCCTCTGCCCCACCTTCCACCATGATGCTCTGCCTTATCCCAGGCCAGGACAATGGTGGTAGTTAACCATGGGCTGAAACTGAGGCAAAATAAACTGTTCCTCCTCCAGGTTGCTCTTGTCAGCTCACTGGAGGACCCTTCCCCTGCTGGCAGGCGGTGATGAGGAGCAAACTTCCCCTCACACTGTCCCCTGGAGAACCTCAGAATCACCGACCACTTTACAGAAATGAAAACCAGTCCTCACATCTGGTCTTGCCTTTTCTTTGGCGAATGAGAACCAGGAGGCTGACAGGCCAGTATTTGATGGTCCTCCATCCCTTCAAGGACTTTCTCTCAGTTCTCAGGGATCCAATCCCTGAAATCTACCTAGTGGTGGTGGGTGTTTTCCTAACATGGGCAGTTGAGTTGGGATTGGGGGTGGGATCTGAACCAAAGAGAGGCCTGATTGGGTCTGGGCATTGGAGAATGGACCTGTGTTGATGTGGCTGGGCTTTCCTGGTCTCTGGGCTCGCCCAGTGTCTGTCCAGGGTCCTGATCCATGTCTGGGCTCCACATTGTGGACTCCTGCTTCTTGTCTTTATCAGGACCCCCTAGACATCTGCTTCTCTCCTTACATCTGCTTCCCACTCCGTGGGAAAGTGGAGGCTTAAGAAACCCTGTGTATATTCTCAGAATCCAACTCCCTGCTCCCATTGTTCACATGCCCCCCTCCACCATCTGAGGTCTCTATCATTCACTCCTCCGATAACCCACCAGTGCCCTATGTCCCGTGTGCACTTCCTCCAGTTTTCATCCATGGCTCTGTGGCAGGCATTCCCAGTTAACCATAGAAACCTACCATTGATTCCAGCCCCAGTCTGGAAATCACTCCCGACACTCCCTTAAGAAGCTCTAATGTCAGTCATAGTGGACACAGTAAATGACACTTTCCTTCCTGAAGAAGTCATTGGTGGTGAGCCGGTGCACAGGAGGCTGAGTGAATCCTTGGATAAGATGCAGCCATTGTGGTTCAGTTCTCATTAACTCTGAAATCTTGGGAGAGTCCCTGTGTTTTTCCAAATCTTAGTAGCCCTGTTTATAAAGTAGGCATTAGTATTGGGTCTGTTATGAGGATTAAGAGGGACAATACATGTAGCAGTCCCCGTGCATGGCCTGCTGAACAAGTGACTGCTTTTATGGCTTTAGAGATGAAAGCAAGGTCAGGCTTCAATGTGTTGCTTCCTGTGTGCAATATGAAGCTCTTCATAACAATCTGAACGGTGCTTGCATGAAGTACAAGATTAGCTAAGAGGAACAGGAAGCCAGCAGCTGGGGAAGATTGGAAATGCCATAGATTTTCATTTTCTTAAATTGGGTTTAAGGATGATAAGGCATCTGTAGCGCATCCTGGGGGAAGACATTAGACTTTGAAGCATCACCAGGTCAGCTGGCTTCTTTGGCCCCAGGTGGAAAACAAACAAACAGGAATCAAATGGAGCAGGTTGGAAGGGCACTTGAAGCCCATCTCATCCACGGGCTCTAATAAAGGTGGGGTAAAGCTGGCCCCTGGGGACATTTGTCCTTGTCCAGAGACACAGGGGTGAGAGGGATATTGGAATCTGGTGGGTGTAGGCCAGAGATGCTGTGCAGACTCACAGTGACAGGACAGCCCCGATCCCAGCAAAGTCTCTTCAGGCCCCAGAGTCAACATCCCTAGACTGAGGCGCCCTGCTCTGGCCTAACTGCACCCTATAACTGCCTGCAGAGATCTTCCACCCCTGTGGCCTCAGGCCAGGGAGCACACGCCTTGTAGTCATATCCCTTTCTGTCCCCAAACTGCTCTGCTGTCCAGGAGATTCTTTCCTTGAAGGGGCAGTCCATCCTTATGTCCTTCCTTGGGTGCCCTCAATTTGATTCTTCTTACATAAAGAACACTCTCAGTGTGGATGGCTGTTCGGCTCAGGAGACCTCTCCAAGCCACCTCTTCATCTCCAGGCTACACCCTGGGCTCTCTCCCTGCTGATCTGCTGGTTTGTTATTGTCTTTACTTGGTTTTTGTTCATTGGCCTTGGGTCATTTATAAGAACCCAGGCATTCTCCCCTGCCTGGGTGCTGTTGAGTTTATCTCTGTCTTTTCTAAGTTGAGATACCCCCAGCATCTGTTTGGTCTCCAGGAATTGGTTCTACGCATCTCAGGGCACCAAAGGGCAATCAACTCCCACTTTCTTCATTGGTGACTCTAATTAAAGTGGCTTAAATTCGTGTTAACGTTTTTACACCTGTGCTACCTTGTGACTTGTTTAACCACCTGTTAAACCTCCTCTTCAATTGCCTCTTGGTCAGTCCCTAAGAATGTGTCTGTGACTTGCAGGAGCCTGGGTCTGAACAGACTCAGGGCGGTGTTAAAGTATCTTGGAACAGACCGTGCAGTCAGAAGGACATGGTCTGACCTTTCCATTTTGCTTGTGACTTTGAGCAAGTTAATTAACTCACTTGGCCTTTTTTCCTCTTCAGTAAGTGGAATAACATTAGTAAATACCTCCTATGAGTATATAGAGAGGAAGAGAAAAGCAATGTGTTCAATTCCTAGACAGGCCTCATGAATTATCAGCTTTGAATCAAGTGCAATGCTAATGACTCTCTGAGCTCCTGGGGTAGACACTTCATCCCATCCTCACGTGAGTTCTTCCTGGTCACTTGCCGCTTATTTATGGAGTTGCGCGGGGCCTGTGGTTTTAGCTCTGTCACAAGGCCTCCATTGGCCCAGGAGCATCAAGGACTGCAATGAGGGACAGCTGTTGGGGGCTGTGGGCGGCTGCTCCCTTTACTCAGTGCCTTGCCTCACCTCCTCACCTGTGGAGGAAGGAAAAGCTTCTCTCTTGACTCAGTCCTAGAAGACACTCCTCCAGTTTTCTCACATGCCTGTGAGCCTGAGGGATTGGTTTTCAGAGCTGCAGGTTAGTGCTGGTCCTCCTGAGGTCCACTGTATCTGGTGTTATTTTTAGAGGAGACTCAAGCTCCCTTTATAAGCAAAGGTGCTGCTGGGTCTTCCCTTCCAGTTGGTTACCTCTGAGCATCCGGAGCACACCTGTCATGATCTGTCAGAACAAAGGTGGAGGCCTTCATGAAACCGCTCAGACCAATGGGCCATGCGCTCCGGGTCCATTCTTGCTTTGGCTCAGTCAGTCAGTCATCCACCTCAATATGCACACTGTGCAGCTTCTACCCTTGCCAGGCCTACTTGGGTGTTGGGGCTGGAAAGACGGAGTAGTGGCAGCTCCTGCTGTCCTTGGAGGAGAACTGTGACTGAAGGCGCAGGTTCTGACGTGGATCGGCACAGTAAGCTCAGTGCTGCAGTTGGTGGAGCATCGAGAGAGGAAGGGAAGGAGAGCCGGGAGGCTGTGGCCTTGAGAGGAGCCGCGAGGGAGGGAGCTGGGCCTCTGGGTCACCTGACAGCAGAGCATGGGTCCCAGATCTGCCGTGTAGCCTTAGTTCCTTCACTTGCTGATCGTGAGGAAAATGATGCCTACCAGGCAGCGTTGTGCAGATTTTAAGATGAGCACGCCCTGCGTTTGGCCTGTGGACCATTGGACGACAGCAGGGAAAACCACATCACTAATTTGAGCCACTTGCATGTCTTCCAGGTTAAGGGACGTGGCCGGGGCACCGATGATCAGCAGCCGCACGCTCGGCCTGCACTTCCACCCCAGGAGAGGTCTGCACCACCAGGTCCCTGTCATGTTCGACTACTTCCACCTGTCAGTGATCTCCGTCACCATCCACGCTGCCCTGGTGGCTCTGCAGCAGCCCTTGATCAGGTATGAAGTTAGAGGTGGCCCTGAGTCATGGAGAGTCACCTCCCATCACAGGTGTGGCTGGAGGCATGGAGCTTGCCCAGGGAGGTCAGTTCCCAGCAGAGAAGCTGCCTCCAGGCTGCGGGTGTAGGTTTGGGCCTAAGAGACACAGAAGAGCTAGAGGAGCCATGTGGAGGGACCACCAGGAGGCAGAGGGGCACGGGGTGGAGTCCGGGGACTGAAAACCTGCCAAACTGTGGCTCCCATCAGGAGGGCCTGAAGTCTTCACCTGCCTCACTTTTATCTGCCTGATTTGACAAGTCATCTTATGTCCTGAGTCACATGAGCTTCATCTCTAAGGCAGGAGTGCTAACGGGTGCCATCTACATGTGTTGTAGTGACTCCCAGATGACAGGGCCAGCCACGTGGCAAGAGTTCCCAGCTCTCTCTCCTCCTTGGTGGCTATTTGTTCAAATGTGGGTGACCACATGGACAATTGCTCCTTCGCTGACCTCTTTGAACGCCCCAGCATGGCTGACCATGGGCCTCTAAATCATCTCACAGTATCTCACGTGGGTGTGGACTAAAGGTGCAAATGTGTACCATGAGCTATTTAGGGGTAGACTCTTGTAACACAGATTTTTTTGGAAAGGGAATTGTCCCAATTTCCTTTTCCTGGATGGTTTCTCAGTGCCAAGAGTAAGTGGGGCTCACAGGGAATGTCAGGTGGATTCTGAGAGGAGAAAAGTGAATCACTTTTTGGAAGGTTTGCAGTAGTGTGGGCTTTGGGCGTTGAGGGCAATCGTGCCTGGGAGCTCATGCCAGAGCACATGGAAGCCCCCTAGCCTGGGGCCACATGGCCCACAGTGCTCTGCTGAGAAGCCCTTCACCTTGACTGAGCTGTTTGATAGGAGCTGTGCTCTGAAGAGGAAGGAGGCCCTTGGGTCAGGGAGTCTGTGGGGCTGTTCCTTCTCCTGGCACCATGAGCACTGGCTGAGCGCCTGGTGTGCTGGAGAAGGCCTCAGGTTCTGCCCTGCACGTCCTACTGGGGGATCCTCAGGGTCCTCGAAGCAGCCCTTTCCTTCAGGGAGCCCACTCACCGAGGAGGCGGCCAGCCTGCAGGTGTGGAAATATAACATGGTACGCGTTGTTGTTGCAGTGGAGCTTGGTGGAAAGTGTTCCAGGATTTATCATCTCAGGAACACAGGGACGGGGACCCGGCCTTGGAAAATTGCAGGAAAAGTAGACTCCAGAAGTGGCAGAGTGTGGTTCTGGGAAGCAAGTTCCCCAGCCCTGAAGTTGCTTTGAGGATTGGCAGATGGGGCCTGGTGCAGAGTTGAGGGTCATCTCTGTGTCAGTGAGATGAGACAGGTGTCCCGAGATCAGCCGTTGTGCCGAAGGCAGGTGGCAGCCTGGGGGAGGAAGGGCAGAGCTCTCTCTGTGGTTCCAGCTCCTCAAGAGTGGGTCGTCCTCCTCAGATGCAGTCACCGCCATCTCATTGTCCAGTCTACCCCTTAGTTCCTGGGGGTCCTTGGGCAGGTCGCCTAAACTCTCTCCACACCTGCTTCAACATATAAACAATGATGAATAAGGAATTTCTTTCAAATTGAGGTGAGATTGAGCCAACAGAGAAGATGGGGATGTCATGGAACAAGTCGAGGGCCTACCCTTGGGGGAAATGTCCTTGGCTCAGGGCTTGGTTTGCTGTGCTTGAACCACTCCTAGCTTGAACCTGGAAGCTCCAAGATGAGCAGATCCGGCTCCCCAAACCCAGATGGTGCAGAGCCTGGCAGAGATCCCCATCAGCAGTGAGTCCCGATTCAGAGTGACGCCAGTTAAACTGAGGCGTGTGCCCAGTATGCAGGGAGCCCATAGAGGGTAGGGTTAAAAGCAAGGACTTTAGGGTCAGAAGGGCCCAGGTGGCAATCCTGAGTGTCTGATTGCCAGCAGTGTTGATTTGAGCACGTGGGAAAGAGAGTATATATACAACCCTTGGCCATGTGTCCAGTAGGTTAACTGTTACTGAGCATCAACCAGATTCCAAGCTCTGATCTGGACCAAATGAATACAGGCTTAATAACTGGCAGGTGACTTTGAGGGTGGTAAGAAGCAGTTCTGCTTGAAACCCAAAGGAAAGCTTTGCAGAAGAAATGGGCTTGGTGTTCTGTGAGGTGGTGAGATGGATTCAGGAGGGTGAATTAGAGCCAGATTTTAACAGTGTAATTAGAGACACGCTAAGGAACTGAAAGTCCATTTACTCTGTAAAGTAACTGAAGGTTTGAGCAGAGAGGCCTGGTCGGGCTGTGTTTTGTAGAGATCCCTTGGCAGGCTGGATGGAGAGAGGTTCCATCAAGAGGGGGCAGGAGCAAAGACAGGCTGCGGGAACGTTCACATCACCTTAAGTGGGAGTGCGAGCAGGGCTTTCCCTCTGTGCCGCTGGCAGCCCTGATGCTATTCTCATGGGGATTGGGCATCTGTGGACTCTTGGTAGAAAATCTACCCCCGTCAGGAAGGTGTCTGCCAGGTTTGCCTTGAGGACCTTCCGGAGAAGGACGCAGATAAATCCACAGTGGGCGCTTATACTTCTCCGGAGACAAAGGTAAAAATAGGACTGTCTTCCGTTCCCTGGATTTTGCAGGAAGAATTTCTATCTTGGCTCATGGTAGCTGAGAACAAAGGGAACCCTTTAAGATTGTGGGAAATACCTGTCAAATAGGACAAGCACCAGCTTTTCTAGAAAAGCAATTTTAAACAGCATCAGTCAGATCCAATAAGTATGAAGGAGGTGTGAAATTAAAACTTAACCTCAAAAGACCCTTAACCTTCAATGAGAGACTGAAGAAAAGAATTCAAGTTTTAACCCTCAAATGGGGTGGGTGGACTTCTTCTGAGGTGTTTCCATCCTTCACAAAGACACAGCAAGGGCAACACTTAAATAAATACTGTTTTGCTATATGCACACCTATAGGTACACCTATTCTACTTTTCTTCTGGAAAGTTCCTTCCACCCATCTTCTAGCTGAATGGGAAACTTGCCTCAACTCTCAACTCAAAGCAAATCAGAATAATGCTAATATTACATTAGACAGCCGTGCCTCCATACAGGGTGGGGCTTGTTTCCAGGACCCCCACAGATACCAAAACCCATGGATGCTCAAGGCCAGTATATAAAATGGTATGATTTGCATACAACCTACACACATCCTCCAGAAACTTTAAGTCATCTCTGGATTACCTTCAATATCTAATAGAATGTAAATGCTGTGTGGATAGTTGATATGCTGTATTGTGTAGGGAATGATTATAAGGAAAAAGTCTGTACATGTTCAGTTTAGATGCTATTGTTTTCTGAATATTTTCAGTCCTTGAGTGGTCAAATCTGTGGACCTGGAGCGCATGGAAGGGGGATTATAATAGTCCTGCCTTTAGACACACTAGTATGGATACACAGATAGAACTAGGCTGATGGTTGCATCATCATTAAGAGTTATTGACTTTTTGTGGATCTTCACTATTGGCTAGACGCTCTGCTTAAAGCCACCTTGGCTGATCTCAGGGAGTCCTGGCAGTGACTCTACGGTTCCAGTGTGATCACCAACCCTTCTGACCCATGGAGAGACAAGGCAGAGGAGGTTAAATCTGACCCTGGCACATAGTGTGCAGGAGATGCTTCTGGGGCTTGTCCCCTGGCGGATAGGCTTTATGGCCAGATGCTCATTTTTAGACACATTAATTAGGCAGTAAGTCCCTGTCTGAACATCCATCCTGGTCACCCGGTGTGTTTCAAGAACTACCTTTCCCTGCTTGCAGGCCTCAGTGTAGCTCCACTGCATTCTCCAGGGACTGGTTTGCCCACCTCCCTCCCTTTCTCTATACCATTAGTAAGGTGCCTGGCACATGGGGTGAGACTATTCAGATTTGAATCAGTGGATTAAGCCAAAATAGAATGTCAACTTCTTTCTCTGTCAGTATTTTGAATGGGAAAGTGGGTCTCTTGAGGGAAACCCTGCACGATTCTTTTGAGCACCTATGATAAAGATGATGCCACCTGCTTATCACGAAGACCCTCTGCCCTCAAAGACCTGCAGTCTCCCTGTGCAGTGTTTATCACACGGACGATAAGAAATAACGCAGCGTTAAGGTATCTAGTAGGTGAGATCTGGAGGCAGACCTGCATCAGCACATTAATTGATGAACATCACAAAGGTAAAGGTAGGCGAGGTGATCCCAAAGCCTAGTGAGACGAGGAGCAGCGACCACGCTGCCTCCCTCCCTCCTTGATTCTAGAGTTGATCAGACTCACCACACCACGACAGTTGATCTCCACGGGGTATCAGAGTGGGCCAGGTCTGTGTTTGTCGGCTGAGCAGATTACAGTCCTGCTAGCCACCGTGGACTCAGGGAGGGCTCTATCAATGGCGCTGTCTTGGACACTGACTGTTTTCTTGCTTGGCTCAAGGAGGTGGATATTTATATTCTTCTACCAAAGAGCAGGCAAAGGCTCAGGAGGAGGCTCACTTCAGGTGACAGCACTGGGGAGCCGTGTGAGCAGGGCTGCCCTCCTGCCCCTGGCCAGGCGCCCGTCCACCTGCTGCTCGGGGTGGTGTGGACTAGACCCCAGTCTCCCTCAGCTGGCATGCTCGTGGCAGCTCAGGCAGGCATTTCTTTGCTAGTTTCTGGATGTGTGTCATCGATGGCTGCCAAGTGTACATGCCAGTTGACCCTTTTGTCCTCACAACATCCCCAAATGTCCTGTCCAGACCCTGTGAGGAGGGAACTCCTTCTAAGTGACCCGCCCCATGAGCTCCCAGCAGTGCCCCTCAAGGGTGCTGAGTTAAGGCCACCATCACCTTCTTTACCTGAGGTTTCTCCTTCACTGTGTTCCTTTTAGTTTTGCTCGCCCGGGAAGAGGATCCTGGCTTGGTAAAGGCGGCCCAGACATGGGGACAGAACAGTCCATCATTTCTCTGGAGAACTTGGTCTTTGGAGCTGGATACTGCAAGCCGACTTCCTCAGAGGTAAGGTCAGCCCTGGGGCCATGGACTTGTACCTGCCAACTGCGTTTGCAGAGTGTGTGTTCTGTGAGATTCCTGCATCCTTCAAAGTCCCCCTAGAGATGCTCTGCTCTGCTGATCCCTTCCCCTGGCTGTCCATCCATCCTCCTCTTTATTACTGCAACATTTATTAGACACATCCTCATGCCAAGCCCTGTGGTGGGCTCAGGTGATATGGCCCACAGAAGGTACCATTATGCATGGCCCCTTGGAGAGCGAGGTTCTCTGGAGGCCAGGCCGCTGTGGTGAGGGGCTTCTCTCAGATGGTGTGTGGACACTGAAAGGCTCTTGGCGTTGAGTCATGCCTGACCTCAAAGGCTGGCTCCATCCTTCATTTCTTCACTCTTTGAGTGTAACTTTCCCCAGCTGTGGGGTGGAACCAGGAAGAGGTGGTCTGTCATGGAGGATCAGGTGTGTCAACACTGCCATGAACGTGAAGTCCTCACCACCGTTCCTGGTGCTCAGTGGTCACTCAATCATTATGCATCTCCCGTCCTTCCCCTTGCTCCTTCTCCCCCAGAAACATCTGCTACTACTTTCCTGTGATGTGCAGGGTTTGGCTGCAAATGTACGACTGTCCATATTTCTCCTGAGCTGGTATGTGATGTGTTTCTATTAGTGATCTGCTCAGAAATAACCAGCTTTTATTATTCAGGATTGTCAGGAAAAACAGGACCCATAGGTCCATTCCTTGTTTGCATAAGAACTAAAAAATCACAGATCAAGGAGAGTGAGAGAGACAACATGCTATTTTACCGACTCTCTCTCATTTGTTCTATTCAGACCTTCAGCGGATTAGACAAGCGCAGTTCACAGTGGTGAGGGCAATCTGTTTTACTCCGTCTACCAGTTCGCATGTTAATCTCATTCAGAAGCATCCTCACAGTCATCCAGATCAATGTTTCACCAAATTTCTGGGCACCCATGACCTAGACAGGTTGACATATGGAATTAATGATCACATGGCCCGTGGCATGAGTGTGAAAGGCCTTCTGAGCTCGGTCACACTACCCAGGAGGTGCTCTATCCTCCTGTGCAGATGGACTCCATGCTCAGACTGTCCTGAGTAACAGCACCACGTTGGCTCACTCACCTCCAACATCACCTCTCCCAGCTCTGAAACCTGGCTGGGAGATCGGCCTGCAGCATTTGCCCATGGCAGCTCCACGTGGCTCTGGCTGCTGTGTCCAGTGTTCTCATGATCCTGAGAAGTAGAGAGAAGGGCTACCAAGGTCTTCCTGAGGGACAGGGAACTAGAAGCAGCACAGGACTTGGTGGCACATAAGGAGCAGATGTTAGAGCCAAATAGGATCAGTTTGCAGGTGAATCCCATAATGTATAGATGCAGGACCTCGGGTGACCACTGACATTCCAGAACCTGGTGTCCCCAGCATCAACACAGGGTCACTGAGTGACTGAGGAACTGACTAGAAAGCAGTGAGCCTACCAGCATGGAGGGGGCTCTCTTTACTACGTCACACACATGAGAGGGCCCCCCACCTGGGATGGGCCACAAGGAGAAGCCTGATCTTCCTGTCTACACCCTGAAGGTCTACAGCAGAATGTCCAGGCCGAGGTGTAGCCCTAGTTGCCCCCCAGTTTCCCTGCCGCTGGGGCACTGATGGCCGACTCTGCAGGACCAGTTGCTCTGCAAAGGTCCTCAGGCCTTGGCTGAAGTATTGTGAATATATCACAGCTTAAGTTTTCCCTGCAACCAGTCCTACCCCCCCCACAACATGTGCTATACCCTAGACCTTCCCAGCAGGCCTCCCACCTAAAATCTTCAGCTCAGACTGCTTTCTAGGGGACATGGCCTGGGATACCAGTGACCCTATAGTCATAGCTCAATTGGAAACATTTTAAACACTTGCTTCCCAAGTTGAGGTCCTTAGTCAGTTCCACAAAAGCAGATGAAAACAAGACGATCAGCCCTTTTCCCTGAAGGCCCTCTGCTCCCTGCACCTGCTCAGGGCCTGCTCAGAGGTCAGCACTGCATGAGGCACTCGGATTTCCTAGGATGAACACCTTCTCCCCGGTGCTGTAGAAGTCTCAGTCTCCTTCCCTGGGGCTCAGAGTGGTGGGAGTAGAGACCATCTCATTAGCTGACCATCCCCAGGGCCAAGCACCATGCCTGGGACTGGCTTCTTCTAAAGGAAGCCCCTGTCTAATCCCCCCAGTGGAGGCTGTGATCTGTGCTCGAGCAACGGGGGAGGGGTGAATGGCACAAGTGTATGGTCACGGTCATGTGGAGAACTGGACAGTCCAGGCTGTGGGCCACTCAGACCCATCCTTGCTATGTATGGTAGCAGACATGATCCTAATGGGAAGGAGCTGCAGGGTGATGGACATCTCCATGGACATCTGAGGGCCTTGTGCGGCTGCCCTGGGTGATGGCGGGACCCGAGGGCCGGCGTGTGATGCACATTGTGGATGGTTTCATCCCACTGGACTCTTACAGATGACGTGTCTGAGCATGGCCTCGTCCAGTCTTCAAGTTGGACACAGTCGTAATATGGTTCAGAGAAGATTCTGGGGCAGATGCCAGCTATGGTCAGTGCTGTGGGACCTGGGGAGCTTATTCATTCCTGCAGAAACTCAGTCTTCTCAACTGTGAAATGGAATAATGTCTTTTCTTCAGAGAAGATTTCAGAGTTAACATGTGTAAAAACATTACAGAAATAGCTGTGAGTGGTGGCCCATGCCTGTGATTTCAGCAGCTTGGGAGGCTGAGGCAGGAGGATAGTGAGTTCAAAGCCAGCCTCGGCAAAAGCGAGATGCTAAGCACCTCAGTGAGACCCTGTCTCTAAATTAAATGCAAAATACGCTGGGGATGTGGCTCAGTGGTTGAGTGCCCCTGAATTCAATCCCTGGTACCTTCCCAAAATATAAAGAAAAGAAAACAACAACAAAATACATTACAGAAATAGACTCACCAGGCTCCAAATACAGTACAGATACGGTATAGTGTTGTTGTTGTTGTTTCCTATTCTTGGCTCTTTCTGGGGATGTGTGTCAAAGCTGACCTGACTGTCTTTTGTAAGAGTCAGATAGAATGGCTTATTTGTGGGTGTTTGGCATTGAATTTGCCCATGGAACTTAGCTCAATGGGTTATTTTCAGGACTTGGTTCTTTTCCTGAGCACTTTCCATTTGGGTCCCCTCCAACTATAATTCAGTGCTGTGCGCCCACCCTGAGCCTTCCCACCTGGCAAAGGCTGCAAAGCAGAGAATGAAATCCACCCCGCACTCCCCTGGGAGCCATGCACCAAATCCCCAAGAAGCCCAGAGCATTAGCAAATAGCGCTGCAATCTGCACAGATTGCAGCCTCCGCTGGAGGATTAGACAGGGGCTTCCTTCAGAAGAAGCCAGTCCCAGCAGAGGTGTTTGCAAAACTAGTTCTGCAGCAAAACGTGCTGATTGGCAAGGCATCATGAGAGGTGATGATGCTGTGCCCCTCTGGTTAGCACAGACCCTCTCCTGATGGCCGCTCTTTGCTGCTGCACCCTCTGTGTTAGACCCTTTGTGTTCAGAGTTGCTGGAGCAGGGCTCCTGTTCCTCCCACCTCCAGCTGTCAGCGTTGCACCAGGGGAAGCACTGACCCTCTCTGCCTCCCAGCGTATCTGCCAATACAGATACTCATGCAGGCCTTGAAGGGTTGAGAGAAGATTAAGTGGAGTCACCTTATAAGGGCCTTGAGAACATAGACCCTGGCACAAAAATTCCCAAGAAATTCTCTGCTGATATTGTTTCCTTATCATTTATGCATATAATTAAATAAACTCTTACTGCAACAGCCCCAGCCCCAGTGTGGTCTTGTGGGCAGGACTTTGAATCAAACATCTTAAATGCGGTTTTGTTCTTGGCTTCTGCGTTAGCTTGCTGTGTGAGCTCCAGCCCCTTGCCCTCTCTGACTCTCAGTTTCCCAAGGTGTAGAAAGAGAGCTGGATGGAATCTTCCAGGAGCCTCCTCCTGCTGTTTGCTGCTTTTACTGAAATCCCCCTGGAACTGCTATGTACAGCTTGGGCAGTTGGTCCACAGCAGCAGACCCCAGAGGATGTCATGCTCCCCACCACTGTGTGTGTGTGTGTGTGTGTGTGTGTGTGTGTGTGTGAGAGAGAGAGAGAGAGAGAGAGAGAGAGAGAGAGAGAGAGAGAGAGAGAGAGAATCAATCTCCAGTTAAAGCTACAGTTTTAATTCAGGGAGTGTGATGCCATCTCTTTCCACCCCCACAGGGAGAAAGATATTTATTTTAAGATTTAGCTCATGCAGTTGTAGAGGCTGACAAGTCCAGAATCTTTGGGGTAGGCTGGTAGGCAGGAGACCCAGGAAAGAGTTGCTTTCAAATCCAAAGGCGTTCTACTGGCAAAATTCCTCCTGCTTTGGGGGAGGTCAGTCTTCCTTCTACCAGGGCCTGTGACTGGGATAAGGCCCACCTATATTGTGGGAGTTCATCTGCTTTATTCAAAGTCTGGTGACTTCAGTGTTAATCTTCTACCAAATGTCCTCAGAGAAACACTTGAAATGTTTGGTCAAGTAGCTGGGTACCACAGCTGGGCCAAGTTAACACACAGCCACCCACACATATGATAAATCCCCTGTTCTGACAGGCCCTTATTGGAGATCCAGAGTCCAGTGACAGGTCAGGAGAATCCTATTCTCCCTGCAGGGTCTGAAGTGAGTAAGGTTCCACTGTGCAGAGGGAGGCATGGCCCCTGGTGCAGAGGCACCACTAGGGGAGCCCTTGGAAGGGCTGAGAAGAGCAGGAGCGGATGCTAATCCCCCATGGGGTGCTGCAGAGCCACGGGAATGAGTGGGCCCTGGGATCTAGAGTGAGACAACGTAATAATTAGAAAATCAAATCTTACAAGTGTGCAGAGGTTGATGATGATCATTTTGGAGCACACCTTTGAATGTCTCCTGTCCCTCAAGGTCCCGGCTAAGCTATCTGTGCATATGGACTCCTT